GACAGGAGATGAAAATACCAGACTGTCCGAGTGAATACTGGACACCTGCATGTATATGTCCCATATGCGTAGAAGACAAATCAGTATTCTAAATAACATGATGTCTGCAGTTTCTTGTATAAGAAACAACAGTACTACACCTAGCAAAGTGGAGCAGCAGTCCTGTTGAGAGTGGAGAAAGGGGATAGCTCTCTGCTGTGTATTTCAGAGAGTTTGTCTGTATGACTGTTCCTCCAGCTGTGGGACATGCACCCCATTCCCAACTGTGCCGGCTGCAGGAATAATGTCTGTGGTGGGATAGCTCAGTGGTTTGAGAATTGGCCTGTTAAACCCAGGGTTGTGAGTTCAATCATTGAGGAGGCCATTTGGGGCAAAAATTTGTCAGGGATGGTACTTGGTCCTGCTGTGAAGGCAGGGGACTGGACATGACCTTTCAAGGTCCCTTCTAGTTCTAGGAGATAGGCAATCTCCATTAATTTAATTTAACCTGGTCCCAGGCTGCTGCAATGAGCAGGCTGGGGTTGTCCTCTCTCCCTGGTGCAGCCTGCATACTGAACACCCCACCCAAGAGCTATGATTTAAATGAAGAAAAATAAATTTATTTGAATTAGGGATCTGAGCAATGCTGGGTAAATCTTCTAGTAAAATAATAAAAGTGAAAAGAAATATGCAGTCAGAATGAGCGAGAGCTGTCTGGATTCAATATTGATATGTATGATAAAAGCTTGCTAATCTGTTTTCATCAAATTCAAAAGGAAAATTGGTGTAAATTCTTTATTTTTTAAAATCAAAATAAATGTCATAGCCAGACCATTTTAATGCAGTAATATGCACAATACATTTCTTTGACTAGTCTAAGAGAGGCTGATGATTACTGTGAAGAATTCACATTTCTGACTAGTCTAAATGTAAGAAATATTAACATAATGGGAATTTTTTTTCAGTATTGTTTTTATTTTGTTTCATTTTGGTTTTTGGGGGGAGAGGGTGGCGTAGAGTGTTAGTAATAGGATATGGGGCCCTTTGCCTCTAGGTCACTGGGTGGGAACCCTTCCTAAAGAAGTTCCAAGGTTTCCAACTTTCGAACTGCAGAAAACCTAAATCCTTCCCCAGCCCCTTCTCTGAAGCTCCACGCTTATGCTGCCCCTTTTCCAAGATCCCTCCCCCACTCTATCTCCCCTCCGCATTTTCATCAGGCAGGGACTGAGGTGTAGGAGCAAGTAAGGGTTCTGACTCTGAGTATGGACTCTGGGGCAGGGCCTGGTTATGAGAGGTTTGGGATTCAGGAGAGCATTGGGGGATAGGGCTGAGGGGTTAGGGGTGTGAGAAGGGGCTCCAGACTGAGGCAGGTGGATGGAGTGTGGGAGGAGGTACAGACTCTGGGGTTGGGGTGCAGAGGGAGTTTGGGTGTAGGAGGTAGCTCAGGGGTGGGGCAGAGGTTTAGGGCATGGGTTCCCAGCGGCACTCACCTCATTTGGCTCCTGGAAGCCAGTTAACTCTGCACCCTGCCCCTGCCTGCAAGTGCCTCCAGCACAGCACCCATTGATTATGGTTCCTGACTAATGGGTGCTGCAGAGCTAACATTCAGGGTGATAGCCCCTTCGCCTAAGAATCGATCGTGCCAGCTGCTTCACAGAGCCACACAGAGCTGGGCTGGTTGGGGGCCTGCTTTAGCCCTGCTGTGCTGCCGACTGGGCTTGTAACAGGCTGGTCAGCAGTGGTGACTAGAGCTGCCAGGGTTGTTTTTGACCAGTCAAAACCTTGACACTATGCAACTACCGAAAGTATCTTTCATCTAATGACGGTTACTGATGGCTTTTAGGTCCATGCAAAATAAATTTAGTAGTCTCTGACCAAGTCCCAAAAGCTGCATCTATACAGCTCTTACTGCTTAAGCACATATTCATAGCAGAATAGGTTGAGTCAAGCCCTTTATTCAGTGACCACCACTTCGCTTAATACACAGCTCATAAGTAGGTTTATAGGGAAACCAAGGATAAGATGATTATCAAAGATTCAAGATTCTAGTAAGAGTGAGCAAGAATATTGGAAACAAATGGTTACGTGTAAAAACAAAATAACATGCTTTCTAGAGACTAAACTTTACTAAGAGATTCACCTCGTTCCTAAAGAAATTTTATTTCATCCAAAGGTCTCATCAGCATTTTCACCCTGGACTATCTGAGATCCCTTTTTCATGAAGCAAAACCTCTGTGTTTTTACTTTCTCAGTGAAGGCTGCCTGGACATCTAAACAAACATTTTAAGTGCCCCTCCAAGTAAGGCTCTTCCTCCCATAAGAGGCCTGTAACCTCTCTGCATATCCTTGCCAATTGATATTAAGAGATATTTGTGTCACGATTACTAATCCTCTGCTTTATTATGTGTCCCACAATAGCTGATATTGTACTTAAATGCTTCAGCTCCTGGAATCCTATGACTATGTGAGAATCTCAAGGTTGCTATTTTTTATTTGTAAGTAAATTTGAAGCCCTTACAGTTACAGAGCAAAGTTTGAAAATGAACCCAAGTGCACCTCAAAGGCTCCTACAATAGTAATCAACAAGCCCTCTCTCCCCCATTTGTATTTCTTTTTTATTTAAAATCTCTTTGATTTTTAAACCTATCACATTTTTAAATATTTGGGGAGTTAGACATGCTGAAGTTAAACATCTATTTTTGTTAAAAGTCAAAATTTAAATATTTTATTTAACTTTAACTTAATATTTTGACCAGTAAATAGAAATAGGTCTAGAATTGTATTCAAACTTCAGTATTCAGATCTCTCTTCACTTTTAATTAGACAGAAAAAAATGTGCTTTCCTGTATCTTCCCCTCTGCCCTTTCAGTGTGAAACACCTTTTCTTTATCTTCAAAAATTGTCATCTGTGGAAAATGCAAATGCAGTAATTAGATCTATCAATTAAGTGCATTTATGGCAGGGGTGGGCAGTGCTTTTTGATGAGGGAGGGCACTCCACAATTTTTGTGAATGATTGAGGGCCACACTCTTCCATTTTATTAATGAAGGAGGTGCAGGGGCTTGGGATGGAGGTTGGATGCAGAAGGGAGCTTAGGGTAAGGGATTAGGGTGTGGAATATGGGAAGGAGTTTGGATGAAGGAGGAGATTGTGACCTTGGGCAGCAAACTGGGGTATAGGAAGGAGTGCAGGATTTGGAAGGGGGTTGTAACCTGGGGCAAGAGTACAGGAGAGGGTTCAGAGGTTTGGGCTATGATCAGGGGTAATGGATTGGGGTTCAAGGTCTGGGGTCTGTGATCTGAGGAGCGGTATAGGAGGGGATGTCTGGGAAGATGTGTGGGGGCTGGAGCAGTGGTGCAAAAGGTTTGGGTTATATGGGGTAGCAGTAGGATGGGGGCAGAAGGTTGGGAGAAGGAGAAGCTGGGGTGCAGGCTCTGGCTGGGAGAGCTTTACTGAGTGGCTCCCAGCCAGCAGCCCAGCAGGTTCCTTAACCAGGGTCTCTGCCTTCCATGCCCCTGTACTGCTCACAGCAGCTGGAGGGGCCATATTTGCTCCTGAGAACACTGTGGCTATGTCTAGACTACATCCCTCTTTCGAAAGAAGGATGTCAATTAGGGAGATAAATTGTGAATGAAGCCGGGATTTGAATTTCCCACAAGTCCTAACTGTCAGGGTGGTCAAATATTGGAATAAATTGCCAAGGGAGGTGGTGGAATCTCCCTCTCTGGAGATATTTAAGAACAGGTTAGATAGACATCTGTCAGGGATGGTGTAGACGGAGCTTGGTCCTGCCTTAAGGGCGGGGGGCTGGACTCGATGACCTCTCGAGGTCCCTTCCAGTCCTATTATTCTATGATTCTATGATTAACCTTTTTTCGAAAAAACCTGTAAACTCATTTTTTTTTCAGGCATTATGGTTCTTTCAAAAACGGGGGGGGGGTTCAAAAGAACTGTGTCTAGATGGTGGTTTTACTAGCTTCTCTTCCCCTCCCCCTCCACACTGCATCTAGACGGTGGTTTTGCTTTCGAAAAGCCCGTTTTTGAAAACGCGCGGCTGCCATTATGCAAATGAAGTATGGGAAATTCAAATCTCAACTTTATTTGCAATGAGGGGGAGGGGCACTTCACATGCTGTCTGGCTTGCAAGCAGGCAGCTACTATTGGCCAGCTGTTATTACCCAATGGGAGCTACAGGGGGTGGGAGCAGTGTGAGAAGCCTTTCGTCCCCTCCCCCAGGCTCTCAGTATTCACAGAAGCACATGGCCCTGCAGTCAGCTTTCCTGAGTGCCGAGTGAGAGTGGGGCAGTCAGAGAGCCAGCGGGTCTCTTATGGGCCAGATCTTGGTGGCTTGGTGAGCCGAATCTGGCCCGTAGATCATATTGTGCCCAGTTCTGATTTATGGGATGTTCAACCCCTTGGACAACTGAGTCCAGAAGTTTCAAGATGCTTTATTGCAGAGTTAGGCAGAGACACTTTATAAGACATAATCCTGTTTGAGAGTGGATGTTTGGTGGGTTTGAGGCATTGTTTTTTTTAAAGTAGTGCTTAGGAACTAAGCCAAATGTTTGTTTCAGCAGCAGTATAGCGGCACTGAAATCTTTTGTGGCCTACATGCTTGATTAGCATTTTGTGACATTAATGAGATTTTTCTAATCTGTAATGTGTTTTGCTCGGCATTACAGGCCCATGCAGTCCATGTAATCCATTGTTGATTAATTTAATGAAGGCCAATGCAGTTTTTGAAAGCCTTGTGTGACAGCGTATCAAAATGAGATTGAAACATTATGCTTCTGGACTCCACTGCCGGAATAAATCAAGGCTAGCTGTTCACTTGCCAAAATGAGTCTAGTGTAAATTAGCTCTTTCTGGGTAGAATGATCATACTGTGTTTTCATTTGTTCATTATAATTGTCAAGAGAAACAGACAGTGCAGTGGTGCTGAAGCATATGGTACTTCCGTTAAACAGCTAGACTATGTCTTTATGCAAGTCTTATTGATTTTCCTTTTCTTTTCTTGGCAGGTGACATCACACAGAAGGGATATGAAAAGAAGAGATCAAAATTAATTGGGGCATACCTGCCACAACCTCCAGGTGTGTATAGTTGTGCCAGTAGTGTATGAAGTTATCAAGTGTATAAATAGCTACCAAAATAAAAATCTATACATTGCCAGGAGTATCTGTGGCAGAAGGAAACCTTTTTTTTTTTTTTTGTTATGAATTGTACATACAAAACTCCAACCATCTTTTTGTGTATATATATATATATATGTCTGCCTGGATGTGTTTACATTTTATACATACATTCCATGGGATACTCATATATACATGGCCAGGAAATAAAACTAGCCATGGGTCTTCAGTAGTCGTTATTTATTGCAGGGAAGGGAAACAAACACCTACATAACTGCCCTAACCCTCTAAAATGTGAGCTAAACAAGTTCTCTGAACAGTGGGGAAAGGAGTTAGGCTTATCACGGCCTGCCTATCAGCACTAGGCCTTGCTCCATTGCAAGACTTGCATCCCAAGTTTGTCATGCCTGTGTATCTTTTGAGGAAGACAGTAGTAACAGTGACACACACACCCCACTACAAAACTCAGGCAAGATTCCTACAGTAAGGGCAAGCACCTATGATCCTTTCTAGAGATCTGGGTTAACCTTTTCCTTGTTTCGCTAGGGATGTTATACATACACTCTAATATCAAAACTAGACTCACTCACAGGCACAAACAGACACTCAGACTGACTTTACTGCATGTTGGTTTAATGCGTCATTGAAAGTATCCTATGTGTAAATTGGATATAAAATAAGGAAAGAGCTATTTCACATCATCTGCTCCAATGATATATGGATTATTTTTTAATGTGAAACCATTGACTTGTGAAGTCAAGTATGGATTTATATGCATCAACATAGGCCCTAGTCTTGTAATAGTATCTATGCGAGACTCTTGTATTTGTCCTACTGAACTGACTGTGGCTCCACCTGGGACCTGCACTGCTCAATGGCCCATAGTTAGGTCTTCCTTTACAAAATTCCAGGTCATTGCCAGAAGGAATGGGTTGGGGTTTACTGTTTAATCTGCTCACATACATGCTACAGCAAAATACTGTTTTTGTGTCCTTCGCCTTTATTGACTCTGCCCCCCAAAGTTCAGGAGATGTTAATTAAAAAAAAGAAGAAGAAATTTGGCATTACAGGCTGAGCTGTTGCGGTCCCAGCTATCCAGAACAGTGTAGCATGATTTGGGCAGTGTGCTTGGCATTTGCTAGCTGGTGGGAACAGCTATAATACTAGACAGATCAAACGAAACATCCCATAAGACTATAAGATTCCTAAACTTCTGTGCATTCTGCATTTTTACTAAACTAGTGATTTTTATACAGCACTCTTCATAATCTGCTTCTCTGGAACCTGTGTGCACCTTTCCTCACCTCTCAAAAACCTACCACCCACTGGTATAATGTATAGTTCTATTATTAGTGTTTACTGAGGACAGCCACTTGTGTCCTGCTGTCTCACAACTTGTTCTCCAAAGTGCTTTCAATCTAAGGGCCAAACTGTATCCTCCAACGCTGAAATCTATGTAATAGGGAAAAAGATGAGGTAGAGAACCCTGTAGGATGAACCTACCCAAAGATTCCTTCCAGTTCTTTCCTCGGGGAGCAAGGGTTTGGCAATCTGTGGTGAGGGAAGGCAGGACTCCTGGAGAGAGTCATTCTTTCACTAGTGCTTCTTTGGACTCCTCACCGACTGTTATAGTTCCTGCAGAGATTGTTCAGAGATTGTTGTCTATGCAACATTGACCTCTGTGAAGGAAGTAGTCAAGTGCTGCTTTATTTAGGTGTAGAAATCTTGATGTATATTGAAAGGGAAGAGAGGGTCCTCCCACTCTCCTCCAAAATCTTGCCATGGACTTAGTGGGGCTTCCCTGTGATTGGAGGAAGAGGGGAGCAGTGCTGCAAAGATGGCATTCTACCCTTTTGCATTCTTTCATCTACATCTAGTGGAGCTGAGTCCCTTTGCCTGCAAAAGTGGAGAGGGAAATTTGGCCCTACATTGTTTCAGCATTATAATGAATGATTTTTTTGTAGTAAAGGACATTACAGTATATTCCTTCTGAAAGGATGATTATTTGTGTCTTAGGTCTTCACTATGTTTGTAGTTTTCTGTTTGTTTTGTTCTCCCTCCCCTCCATTATTTTTAAAACAAAATTGGTAAAGAGTTATTTTGAATTTTTTCCTCTCAACTTTTATTTACCTGAATGGCTGAGGGTTCCTCATTCCTACTTGGGGAGATGAATTGTCTTCAAACGGACATAGGATAATAAAGTAACTGGGCTTCCTGCTGTACGTGCTTCTTAAGACCTCTTGAACATGTGTGTCCTATGATCAAATACATCACTCATGTGTTTCTTGTACTCTGTTTTCATGGGGAACTGCAAATATTTATAGGGTTTGATACTAGAACTCTCTATTATAAAGGGAGGATGTTTTAGAAATATTAATACCAATAGTATTGAATTTCACAATACTGTTTTAGTGGGAGACAGGGCTTGGGAAAGGGATAGGATCTGCATATTTTGCTTCTGTGCCTGTCAAATGGAAAGTAAATCAAAAGGCAGTTCCCCACTGTCCCAGCATTCAGCTCTCTTGCTGCTGCTTTGCTAACATTACTAACACAAATGTTGGCAGAGCGGAACTCGGCTCATGTGGCTCCGTGAGTGTACCGTAGTGTCTGTGTGTCTGTGTGTGTGCTGTACTGCATGGGGGCAGCCGCTCCAGTCGTTGCTGTAACAAATGTAAAAAAACTAAACATGAATTAATTAGTTTTTTTCAACTTGTTACAGCAGCGAATGGAGCTGCCGCGGTACGGTGTAGACTGCAACACAGTGAAGGAGCCGCGAGAAGAATGCTCCGCACTGCCAACATTGGGGTCTGTGACATCCGGGAAGCAGCAGCTAGAGAGCGAGCAGCCAGCACAGCAGCAAACCGGCCCCTCTTTTACTTTCGCTTTGGTGAGCACAATAAATGTATATTTTACAAGTGAATATTTGTTTATAAGCATCCCTCTCCTGTAGGCCTCTGGACATCTACTACAATGAAGTACACAAACATTGCTACTGGAAGAATAGCATGGCCCAAAACAAGACTTGGAAACCTACCATGTCCAAATAAGAATGAAGTAAAAAAAAATCACCGTTCTTATAAATAACTAAAAAGAACCGAATAAGTCCGTGGCCTCTCCCGGGTAGATGCTGCAGAGGGGGTTTCATACAATAAAGTGATTAAAGCATAGGAGACTGGCAGGGGTTCTAATTCTGGCTGTGTCACTGACTTCCTGGATACAACGTGGACATATTCTGTTACTCAGCCCCGCGGATGGTGCTGTAGAAATCTAAGAAATAGCACAAATGCTCGCTGACTCTTACAAATGATTAGTAAGTCAGCCAAGAACCTAGGATTCCTAGTGCTAGACTTTTCAGGTCACCACTTTCTTCCATGAGTTCAGGGAGGACATGCACCAAAGTTTCCTCCTTTCCATTTTGTTTCCCCCGTCCAGGCAAGACATGATGTGGAATGGAGTTGACTTTTGCTCTTGTCTCTAGAATAATTCATTAACTCCTTTATGCTCTGGTTCACTGTGGAACTTACCCATCCCCGCTCAGAGACAGCTAGATGCAGAGAGCATTTCAGACTCCCAGAAACTCAATGGAGAAGGCCCTACCTGAGGTTCTCTTGGGATTCTATGATGGAACTGAGCAGCTGCAGTTCCCCCAACAGCACTTCTGTGACTCTACACGCAGAGTGGCAGAGGTGGTTCCCTCCTACAGAATGCGCCAATATTATTTTCAGATGAATTGTTATCCATACAATAAAACTACAAGAAGAATCCATAGTCAGGCCTAAGGCTAATCAGTTGTGGATCTTTGATTTTATTATGAGGTTCCTGTTAATGCATTGCTCATTGATTCGGAGACCTGGTCTATGAACAAGTTCTCATCCAGTCTAATGGAAGGCTGTGTCTGTGGCACTGAGCAACTCTTTCAGCCTCAGTTTCATTATAATACTTATCTGGGTGTTGCAGGGAATAAAATAATTTACATTTTGTATCATTAAGATGTTACATATTAATAATAATATATAGAAAGCAGAGGGATGTCCAAACCTGCCCTTCCTCACTTTCATTGCGTAGTGGAGGTGCGTTGCTTGCATTCAGTAGTCTCAGAACAGGGCTGCTGTCACTTTTCCTTGGGGAAACAAAACAATCGTACCATGTAACTTTTGTTTCCTCAAGCAGTGTTTGCCAGAACATCAATTACAGGTGCAGATGTTCTGTGCACAGTCTTATTTTCATTTTAAATTAGTTTTATAACAGTTGAATATTGGTTTTGTGAACCTTTGTACCTCTTCCCTTAGTTGATGAATGGAAGCTAGCCAATTTAAAATCATAGCACACTTCTTGTACTGTTAAATTAGGAAAAAACATAGTGAGTTTCCCTAAAACATTTGGGGGTATTTTCTGTCTGGGGTACAGGGATAGGAGGGGAAGAGTTGTACTGTGATCGAGTGGATTAGACATAAGCCTTGGAGCACTTGACTGCAGGAAGAGTTGAGGGTGTCTATACCATACTATGACAGCTCCGTTTGCTGCTGTAACAAGTTGAAAAAAACTAATTTACGGTTTGTTTGTTTTTTTACATTTGTTACAGCAACGAATGGAGCAGCTGCCCCTATGCTGACCAGCACATACTTACTGTTTTAGACCTTAAATAGCTTGGCAAGATGTAAACTGGACATTTACAAGTGCTTAAATTTGGAAATAGAAAGGATGTAAGAATTAAACCAGGGCTACTTCCCTGTTTTACAGATTCAGCAACTGAGCCTTGACAGAATGAAATAACTTGCCTGAGAGATGCTGTGAATCAGTTTGGCAGTTAGGAGACCAGGATTGCAGTCTGCCATGTCAATTTATATCATGACCATATGCCTGCCACTTATTCTTTGAATCTCACTCAGTCCCTCTTGTAAAATGGGGGAGGTGACTTTGATCTTTCCTGCAATAGCTTCTGTTCAAGGAATAGCTTTGACAACTCATGGAGGAAAATGGAATAATTTCTACTTACATTAGAGTTTTTCAGAATAATTTTCTGAAGATTATGTTGATTTAGCTTAGTCAGTCAATTGAGAATGTGTGGACAGCTGAATGTATGCTAAGAGCCCTCCCAAGAAGAAAAGTAGCTAACTGACCTGCATCTGATGGAAGCTGTTCTTTTGCCCATTTTATTTTCATCATGTTGTCAGAAAACTTGCTTTATTCACAGCTCACACAGAAGGTGTTGTCAACAATTAAGCTTTCAGGCTAACAGTTTGAACATGGGTGGCTTATTCTTTCTTAATCAAATGCTGTGTCTCTGCTAAACTGTTTTTCATAATTTCATAGTTCATAGTTCCATTTATGACAGTAACAAAGTAGCCCAGCCACCAGAGCAATTTTATTCTGTCAAATTAATCTGTGCAACAAAAATGATAATGGCATCAACTGCTCCTCCCTTAGATCTACAACAAGGTGCAGAAGCACCACCAGTTTAGAATGGCAGGAAATTGTAAGGAAAAGTGTTTTGTAAAGAAGCCGTAGGAAACAGTTTCGCATATAAGAACCCTGCCAATTCTGTTTTCTGTTTAAATTAAAGGCAACATCTCCTTATTTGTATTATTAAATTAGGGGTTTTTGTATATAAAATAGTCTAGTTATGGTTGATGTGGTTTAGCGGTGCACATTATTCACATTAGACAATGGTGGTAAACAAGTCTATCTCATTTTTTATTTGTCATGCAGATGGGTAGCACTGAATATAGTTTGGTTGTAAAGACTTCAATGCCTGATTCTTGGATCTTACAAGAAGCACCAGAGCTACTTTACAAGCACTAATAATATTTAACATTTATGGGGACACTCGCCAATTGACTGCAAGCTCTTTTCAAAGATGGGTATGGGTTGAATTTGTAAAAGGACCTAAGTGAGTTAAGAGCACAAATCCCATATGACTTTCCCTTAGAGTAGGACTTTGAAAAGCACCTAAACGACATCATTCCCATTTTAGGAATACATCTAGGCTCTGTCTACAGTACAAAGGTAGGCATATTATTCTCCTTTTCTCGCATCTTAATTTATTTCTCCATATCTCTCATCCAGCTAGCACAAGCATAAATAGCAATATAACTTCAGTAACACCAATAACTGCAACAGAGGCATGGCAGAACCAAGCATGACTGAGCCATACTAAGTATACAACAGTGGGTATATGCATCCCTTAGTTCAGCTGCTCTTTTGTTGTCGCTACCCGTAGTTACGTATCTACACTGTTATTTAAACTCACTTTAGTTCAATGAGAGGTAAAAGAAGGGAATCGCACCCTTAGCTCACATTCTAAATATAGCAACGGCAAAGAAAGGCAAAGTGACTTGCTGGTAAATTTTAATTTCCTAACTTCTAGTCTTTGGCCTGTATCAACCTGATGGTTGATTTGAATTAGGTTTGATTTATGAAGGCATATGGGAATCACACAGCAGTACAGGCAGTCCCCGGATTACATACAAGATAGGGACTGTAGGTTTCTTCTTAAGTTGAATCTGTATGTAAGTTGGAACTGGCGTCAGCCGCTGCTGAAACTGAACAGTTTTAACTGCGGCTGAATCTGGACGCCAGTTCTGACTTACATACAGATTCAACTTAAGAAACCCAGGCGTCCCCAAGTCAGCTGCTGCTGAAACTGATCAGCGGCTGATTCCAGGAAGCCTGGGGCAGAGCAACTCTGCCTCGGGCTTCCTGTAGTCAGCCGCTGGTCAG